CAATAATATTTTCATAATATATATATATATATATAAAATGATAGAATACAGAACAAATAGGCAATGTTTAACATGTTTTGAATTTATTTAAGCTTCATCAGAATTTTTGCGGAATGATTTAATTTCTGATGAAATGTGAATCATGTTAAATGTACACTACACCTCAGGTTGTAAATTTTTTTTTTTTTTAAATAATGATGATGCAAAGAAACTCAAAACATTAAATTAGAGGGATTTTTTTTTTTGGTCTATCTTTCTAAGTTTCTTACAAACCATGTGATCTGTGAGTGTTCTAATGTAGAATTTAATGTTTCTTTACATGATATGACTTATTTGTAAAAGCAATTTCTACTTGGTGCTGAAATATTAACTTTCATGATAACCTATTTCTTTTTTATTCCTGTTTATGTCTGCATATGCTTCTTGTAAAAAACAAATAATAAATAAAAAAAAAAAATAATTTTACCAAACAATACAGTCACACAGCAAGCTTCTTGGGCTTACCCACTTCTCAAAATGTGATAAAATTACCAGATCTCAGATTTTTTGGGGGAAGGGCTTCTAGGTCAGGTCAAGAAATTTCCACCACCATCTAGTATTTCTGTCTGAATTTCTATGATGAGGAGTTATCGTTCTTTACATGTGGACTATTGTCCACATTTTTATTATTGTTATCACATTTCAGCCGTTGTGCTCTCCATCCTTCATCAACTTCTTATTGTTCCGAGTAACTGGCAATTTCTAATAAAGGGTTCAGTTTGAAATTCCCTAAAGGTTACCCAGATTGACAAGCACTTGATGAAAGCCAGAGAGTACAGTGGCCAAAATGTAAATAACCATCTGATATTGGCTATTTGCTCAGTTCAACTTTTATGTTGACTGTGATTACAATGTGATGTTGAGATCGTAGACAAAGAACATCATTGGAAAATTTGTGAACTTAAGGAATCAGCACATATGCTAGACCACAAAAATATCCTGAGCCGACCAAGTATAGAAATGAATACAATATGAAAACCAGTAATAAGGTGTGCCAGAGAAAAGTGATAATAACAACTAAAATTGCAATATGAGCTCTGGTAAAAAATGATATGAAGACATTAGTTTTAAAATACCCAGAAATTCATACACAGATGTCCTCAAGGACACATGGCACAGTGGATAAAGGCGTTAGATCCAATGACAGGACCCAAAGAGTGTGAGTTCAATACCAGTGGAGAACTTGGAGAGGGGAATTAACTTAAGGAATCAGCACATATTAGACATGGCACATGGAACTAGAACCCAGTGAGTGAAATAAAGGGTTCAGTTTGACATTCCAACCCGTCAAGACGTTGTAATAAATATGGCGACAAAGATGAGGACAATATTCCGAATAATGTAAATAGTGTGATGTAAGAAGTTATAAAAATAAGTGTATGGGTTTAATGCTTCAAAAAGACAATCAAGAATCGTTATCTAATCTACCAATTGCTTTGGTGATAGCAAGATGATCAAATTTCACATCTAAATTGTTTGTCCATTTAAAATACTTTATACAGGGGCCATAAAAATATGAATACTGTTGTCATATCTGGCCTGGTATTCATCTTGAGGTTCTTGACAAAATCCAAAGGAAGATCAGCAATGTAATTGATCCTGACTTGATATCTTGACTTCAGTCATTTTCTCACCGATGTGCAGTGGCTTCCCTCTGTCTTTTCTACAAATATTTTCATAGCAACTCTTCTCAAAAGTTTTTTTCCTTATAGTGCCCCATTTCTGTGAATTTAAGCACGCTACTAGATTGGCATCTAAGTTCTACCATTTTACTGTTGAAATAGTTAAATGTAACCATCACTTTTACTTCAAAAGTTTCTTTTCTTGCACTTCCTGCCAGAAGAACTCCCTTTCGTTTACTTGCTTCCCTGATGACTACAATCTTCAAAAATTTAAATGCAACATCAATTGCCATCTTTATCTTCTTGAATACTGTTCATCTTTTATCTTTTTTTGAATCCACACTTTTGTCTTTTCTCTCTGTGGCCCTCAGCATACTAGTGGCATTCCCAATTTGCTTGGGGTGAAATGATTAAAAAAAAATTGATCTTACACTTTCTGTCTGAATTTTAAGAACAAGGAATTAATATTATTTACACTCTTTACATGTAGACTATTGGTATCACAACATTTTGCATTCCTCTGGCCTTCATCAGGTGTATATCAATCTTACAAATTATAATAAAGTGTGTGGCAAAAGTAATGACATTTTCTTTCTTTTCTTTTTTTCAAGCTGAGGTAGATAGGATCAATTGATTCGTTATCACAATCACCAAACCTTATACCACCAAACTTTTTTTGTTGTGGGATGTACTGAAAGATCTTGTTTACAGTCTCAAACCCAAAACAATTTCTGAATTAAAACAAGTCATTTTTGATAAATTTACTGAAATTACTATAGAAGTGTTGCTAATAGAGTTCAGAGTTTGTTTTTTTATTGAACATGAAGGGGAGAATTTTGAACATGTTGAATAATTAATCATAACAAATTGTTTTGATGTGATAATATTTATAAATTTTCTTAAACTATTGTAATTTATTTTTGTTAAATAAAAGATAAATAAAAAAAAGGTCTTACTTTTGCTGTACTTTGTATTATTTTAGAAGTTTAAAGTTTTAAATCATTATTTTGCCAAATAAAAGCATAAATTCAAAGAATTCATAGAAAAGACAAACAAATATTTGTTTTAAAAAAATAAAAGCATTTTTTTTTACCATAACTTAATGGCAGACAGTTTTCTAACCCCTTCCCCACGAATTATTTTAGGAAAAACATTTCATTTTCGAACAATTTCTTTTATTTGTTTTTAATATAGTAACTAAGAAACTGAGGCAACTTGAAGTACCTGAGCAGTCTCTAACACCTCTACCAGGTGTACGAATTGACCATTGGATTAGTTTCAAGCTCAGAAGGGCATAAAAAGAATCATGATCGACAATGAACAGAGGTACCTTAAAGTACCCGAGTGATGGCTAACACCTCTACCAGACATATGAGTTGACGACTGGACTCGTTTCAAGCTCAGAAGGGCATAAAAAGAATCAAGATTGAAACAATTCTGTTTTGAACATTATGTTTTGGACATGTTTGTCTGAAAAAAGATACTTTCAGTAAAAACATACATACATACATACACACACACACACACATATATATATATATATATATATATATATATATATATATATATATGTGTGTGTGAAAAATGTGTGTATAGAAATAAATATACATACGTGTGTGTATATATATATATATATTATATGCGCGGTACTTATTAGAAAGCGCTCAATATCAGAGATAGAGCTAACATATTTGGTTGGATTGATGTGAGTTTGTGACCCTGGGTTTCACACTTTTGCAATCGTCAGACAAACTGATTAATTTTTTTTAAAAAACTTTGTTTATGTAGATTGCGTGTATTGGTGTTATTATGGGAGTGGGGGGAATCGTCATCAAGATGTCATCATGCTAACGCAAACATAGATGCATGTCCGTACATCAGATGAGGTACGCAGACATACATACACACTTGCTTGTCCATCGGGACTCATACATATATAAACATATGTGGACAATTTCGGATTTGACATATGTATGTATATGGGTGGTGTTGTGTCTATGCATATGCATTTGTATGTTGAAATTCAAAGATTGGAAGTGTAGCGAAAATTTCTCGTGAATGTCTCATGAATGTATATATGTCAACAATCAGAGCATTTTTCTATTTTTTCACTGAATATTTCCTCGCATGTATGTATATATATGTCTATGCCAGGGAAGGAGTTAAAAGACAAAATATCCTGAACAAAAGCCTTTCTCCTTTTTTTAAAAAAAATTAACATACAGTATTACTTAATAGAAACAATGTTATCATCTACTCACCTGTTGTTTTTATGATGGGTGGTTGTGTTGGACGTTTCCTGGGCTTTTTCATTTTCCTTTTCTGCTCTGTTGTAGGTTGTGAGGTTGTAGTACGTTGTTTTTTCTGTGTTGTCACGCTGACTGGTATCATTTGTGTCACAATAGTCGATTCAGTTGTACTCCTCGAGCTGCTTGCTTCCAGGGTGGGACCCAAGGTGCAAGTCTCACTTGTTGAGCAATCATCAGGGAGGATAGTGGGCCTGTATGGAGATGTTGAAGATTCAGTGGGCATTTTACTCGAAGAAACAACATCATATTTAGATGGCATTTCATTGTCTCTTGTGACTGCTTCTTCAATGTAGACTGAACTGATTCTTGAAGTTGTTGGAACGTAGCTACTAGTACTTGGAGAAATTTCTTGAATTTCTGTAGATGTGCTGGAACTGGAAGGAATTGAGGGATAAGAATAAGGAGGCACTCCCATACTAGATGATTCTTCCTGATAATGTACTGATGATGAGGTTGGAATTTTTGATGGGACTGAATAGTATAATGTTGAGTGCGTTCCAATAGTCTTTGAAGTTGTCATTTGTTCATCATAAAGTGCTGGTGAAGATGTATGCCAAGTCTCTCTAGTGGGTTTTGTTTCTTCAGGCCATAACCCTCCTATGGCATAGTCTGGAGTCTTAGACTCCACCAGTTCCTTAGACGACTCTGTCATTTTAGAATGCCAGACACCTGTTGAATATCCAGTTTCTCTTGAAGACCAAATGTCTGTTGATTGTTTAGTGTACCACACATCTGTAGCAGGTTCTGTCTGTCTTCTGGATGACCAGACATCAGTAAAATACTCTTTCCTAGAGTACCACATATCAGTGTATGGTCCCATTTCTTTGGAGGACCAGGCATCAGTAGAATCCTCCTTTCTGGAGGACCAGACATCAGTAGAATCCTCCTTTCTGGAGGACCAGATATCAGTGGAGTAGTCTGTCTTTTTGGAAGACCAGACATCTGTAGAATCCTCTTTTCTGGAGTACCATAAGTCTGTATAATGATCAGTCTTTCTGGAAGCCAATGTATCTGTCGAAGATTCGGTTACTTCAGAGTGCCAAGTTTCCCGTGTACGTTCACTGTTTTTGGATGCCCATGGATCTTTTGTGATCCATATCTCCCAAGAAGAGGATGTGGATGAGGAGAAAAGATCAGTATCCCAGCTTGGTATATAGATTGAAGAACTCATATCTTTACTAGATGACGCACTCGCTGTTTCCTCAAAGTAAAAGATGTTGCTCTCACTAGAGTCAATGACAGAACTTAAAGATGGTGTTGGAACGAACAAGGAGTCTGAAGCTTCTTGAGTTGATGGTTGAATGCTCACCGTTTCTTCTTCATCATTTCCAGAACCTGAACCTGATCCTGCATAGGGCATGTCTAGGGAAAATAATGTAAAAAAAAAAATTAGTTCTGCCATGTATTTGAGGTAAAGAAAAATAACACAAAAAAAAGCCTGTAATAATCAGGGTGGTTTAATAATTTATTTATTTTTTTTTTTAATAATTTCAACCAAAGTAAGGCAATGAAAGTTACTAAGACACAAGGGTTTACTAAAAGGAAAAGAAACTTAGAAAACATTAGCAAAGAGCGGACAATGAAAGAAAAAGAACAATCAAAGGGGGTAGATGGCTATTACCATTGCATTTAAATTTTTGAAGGTCAGAGCTAGTAGGAAAGTAAGAAACTGAAAAGTCAAGAAGTACAAGAGAAGAAACTATTAACATAGAACTTAGTGACATTTAGCAATTTCAGCAGTGACGTTATGAGATCTAGTTACCAATCTAGTACTACACTTAGATTTATGAAGCCAAGATACTAAAGATGAAAGCTCACTAGAACAATAATGAATTAATATATTTATAGAAAAAGCATGGGGGAACCTATGTTATAGTAGTGAGAAAGTGACTAAAGCAGAGATGCCAGATTAGGACCAATAATATTACATATTCTTTTTAGTTTGTCAATAATCTCTAGATACATAAATGCACCAAACCAGATCTGGCAGCAATATTCATTGCACAGACAAATGCTAGACTTGCTGACTCTAGGCTTATCCAGTGTAGTTATTGGATTATTAATAAAAATTGCAAATGGATTACATTTAGCAGCCCTTCCATCTGATTAGAGGGAAGGTTGCTTAGGCTTAGTATAAAGTGTCTTAGGTAATCCAAACAATGAGATACACATTGGATTATTTACAAAGTTTTCTGAAATTGCAGATCCCACACACATTGGTTTAATTACTAATCAAATTCTACAATTCAATTTTACTCCTGCATAGAAATGGTTTTATTTCTGTAAAATATTTCAGATAAGGAAAGCAGAAAAAAACTGCAATAACCAGTGTAGTTTAATAATTTTGCTAGCTCTAGGTATGTGCCAAAATTTAGAACAGACCAGAGTACCTTGTCAATTGCAATTATTGAGTAATAAATAAAATTGCTGCGAAAAATCAAGACCAGAGTGGTTAATTAAGCTGTTATGAGTTACAAATTTTATTAGGGATTTAAGGACAGATATTTTAAAATTATATATAAATAAATATATGTAAAAATAACCGGTTATTGCTCCTCACTCTTTAGAACTCAGCGAAGGATAAAAGTATATAAATATGTGCACAGATACCAAAAAAAAATGTGTGGGTGTGGGGAGAAAAAATTATAATGAAAGAATCAGCAGTTGAGGCCGATTACATGTAAACCCAAAAGCCATTCATTTTGCTTGCTTAAGGAAGTCTCCTTAGACTTAACACAACTGGCCTCAGATGTTAATTTGTATGTTTTCTGCTGATTACTGTGAAAAAATCCCTGCTGAAAAATGAGGTACAGGTTGGATTTATTAAGTGTTCTGCAATTGCAGAACAAATACACACTGGGAAAAATTATTAGTTTAATTTGACAAAGTCTTGGAACCAAAGATCAAGATTAACATTGTCCCATCACACTGGTGATGATTTAACATTAGTTTGGGATGATTAAGTTAATGCCAGGATGAAAATTTTAATGAAAATTCTAAAAGCAACTAATTACTTATAATAAAAAAAAAATTCTATTTTTCTCACCAATATTGTTGGGGTCTTAATAAATAGAGCGTGCACGTACATACACAGAGAAAAATGGACAAAACAGAAACCAATAAAAATTTTAGCACTTCTTTTTAAACTGGGGAATGCAACTGGGAAAAAAAAAACAAATACAAGTTGAAGGACTTAAATTTAGAGATAAACAATGTAAATGCAAGCGTCTTCAGGACCTATTTGTAATAATTAATATATAACTAAATGTAACTAACCAAATTAATTTTGCTTTAATAAACAAAACTAGAAACAAATTTTTTCTGTCAATTTTTGCTTAAAAACATTAAATGAACCATTATGAATATTCATGACTTCTTTTCTGGTTATCCTAAACTAAATTGAGAATTTTAAAATATAATAAACAAACATGAAAGATATAGTCTATGGAGGTTAACAGGTTGTGCATTTGGATGTATTCTAGGTGAAGGTGCGTGCTTGATATATAAACAAAGAAGATAGAAGTATACAAAAACTTGAGTTTCTGCTACGGATGTTTATTCTTTTTATGGTGACTGTAATGAAACAAAGTTGTCAATGTCCCTTTTACTTTTTTGGTCCAGAAGTAAGTTAGGATAACATTGGTTGAAATAGTTGAGTTCAAGTCAGCTTTGCACTGAGTTGGAACGACCAGTTCACTTACTTCATGAGTAGGGCTGCTAAAACATGTCTGAATTTTGTTATTGAAAAGTGGAAAAGAGAAGAATTCTGTTCTTTCCACAAGTGGGGTCAGATAATCACGCAGGTGACCAAAAGCCCTTTCTGGTTTCTTTATAACTTGTATCATCAGAAAATTAATTTTTTAATTTATTTATTGGTTTTTATTTCATTTTCCACATGAGGCAGGTAATTGTAAATGAAAATATTTTTTGTAAAGACTTTAAAAAATTTTTTCATTGGGAATAGTTGGATAGGCAATGGAAAACCAATGCATTACTTTTCCTAAGAAGTCATAGAAATTCACAGATAATTTTCTTTCTTAATCAATTCACTCCAAGGAAAGTGATAATGCCACTAAAATGCAAGGGGAGTGAAAGAAAATGAAAAGATTTTAGAAGAAACTGGAAACCCAATACTAAACAAGAAAACAATTGCTCTTGTTCAGAAGAATGGGGAGGAATCTGAACTGAATGATAGGCAAACCTACTTCGATTGAGAAAAATGAATAGTAAATAAAATTTCAGACTTTAGATGGCAACAGGTTAAAAGTATAGAGTTGAAGTAGACTTTAGAAGTAACCGGAAACCCAATCCTAAACATGAAACAAGGGATAAACCCCCTACTCCTACTCAGAATACTAGAGAGAAGTGTGAACCAGGGGATAGGTGAAGACATCTACTACGACTGAGAAGAAATAAATAAATAGTAAATAAAGTTTAGGCAGAGACATTAGACGTAGATAATAAAGAAAAGGAATCTTTACAAAGCCATGATCATTTATGCCATGACGAGGCTACATGCTAATTTATTTTATTTAATACATCTCTTCTCCTCCTTCCACCAGCAAGAGAGGGTGAGTTCTCTAGCCTTGGATGACAGCCAGTCTAGGAGAAAGACATCTCTAAATTCAGAACTATGGGGAAGGTAATAGGAAAACACTCCTAACTTTTCAAAGATGAAGAAAAAGAAGCTGTGGAAAGCTGTGATCACATGAAAAGGACATGGCATTTTAATAAATAACAGTTACTGGCATTCAGTTATGCAAAAATTTAATGTAAATACTAACCTGTCACAGAGTGAGCATCTGTATCTGGTCTCTGTATTGGTGGGGAAGGCGTAATATAAGGGCTAATAGGGGGGTAGGTTTGTGGTAGTAGTGTTGTTTCGATAACAGGTATTGCATCTTCATCAGTATATGTAGAATCACCAGATCCTGACATACTGTCAATTTCTGTGTAACTTTTACTTGCTTCTGGAGTTGGTGTGTGTGTAGAAGAGCTATACGTTCGGCTTTTCATGTCGTAATCTGTTGAGGGTGTCATTTCAGGAACGGTGTCTTGTGATGTTATAAGGCTTGAACTGAAGGTAGGGAGAAACTCTGAAAAAAATAGTGATTCCATTTGGTAGCTTGAGATTGTTTCAGGAAAAACACTGGACGGTACCTTGATATCACGTGTTGATGCTGGTGATGATACAAAGTAGGAACTCTTGGTAGGGGATATCTGTGAAAAGTGGGAACTTGGTATTAGTGTATGACTAATAGTCTCACTTTGAGGAAGGAATGGCTTAGTCATTTTATCTGCTGTTAGCAAGTCTGAACTGGTCACTTCGACAAACTCAGAACTCTTTGATTTCGTCTCTGGCCACCACCACCAATGTGTTGAAGACGTGGGCTTCACTTTGGTTGCTGGCACCAAGTCTGGGACTGGTGTTAGTGCTGGTGTCATAAACCTCCGTGCAAATCTTTTCTTCCTGCCCAGCTGCTGTTTGGACGGGTTGACCATGGCTGAGATATACCAGCCGACAACACTATAGCCAACTTCTGATGTTAAACGTCCACCTTCAACATTATGCTGCAGCACTTGAACAAAAAGATGCACCTCTGGGAAGATACTGCAAGGAACTTGCCAGGTCAGTTCTGTAGCATTTGGAACAATGGATACTGTGTTTCCATGGCCGGAAGCTAGAATGCTGTAGCTCTTGTAGTTGTCTTGCGTTGAGAAGAGTTCATTCCCACTACTGATAGTGATCACTGAGGAATCAATGCCCAAGAAATGAGCCAAGTTTTTGATTAAATTCAACCTATCAACAACCCCAAGTTCTTTCAGGTTGACTGCAAATATTAGTGTTGTTTGGATTAAGTCTACACCTCTATAGCAGACTTTGGACTTTTTGTTATGATCAGGTTCATTTGAGGGTTGAATTGGAGCTTGCGTGTTTTTTTTAATGTGAAGGGGCCAAGATGTTACTGCTATGTGAAAGACATCAAAAATCCTTCCACATGTGGACTTTGGGTCTTCAAGAGTTGCTTTTAGGTAAATACCATAACTATCATGGTTGGTTGGGACTGCTAACAGTTCTCGGCTTGCTTGATTGTAATAAATCCACTCAGGTAAACTTGAATTTTGCAAAGCTGGAGTTATCTGAAAGACAAAATGTAGATAATATAACTTTAATGAAATAATAATATAAATTGTTGCTATAATCTATGTAACTGGGAAGAATTGGTTTGTCTGTTATACAGGGTTCCTCTAAAATTTGCACTTATATATAAATATAAAAGTGTACATTGAGGTCACCACTTATATATAAATATAAAAGTGTACAATAAGGTCACCACTTATAAATATAAAAGTGGACATTGAGGTACACTTTTATATTTATATTTAAAAATGTTCTATTCCTGATATTGAGCACTTTAACACATAAATCTAGCATGCCTTAAAACTATATTTTTATCACATATACAAATAAATAATTATATATATATAAGTACAATGTATGTGTGTGCATGTGTGTGTCCAAGCAACTCCTCCGCTTTCACTGGTCTGATTTCAATGATTTATAAAAAAAAAAAAAAAAAAAAAAAAAAAGCCCTAGAAATGTTTTTCGATTTTCATTGAGTTCAGATTCAGGGTTGCCAGATTATGCGAGGTTAAAATATATATTAATATATTATACTAGCCATTATCATTGCCTTCATGGTTCAAGAGGAGTAACTCTTATTTTCCTTTTTCACCCAAAATTGCAGCTAGCTTAATATTTTAAGCTTGCTTAAAAGCCGCCCTATATGAATAAATGCGAAATTGGAGCTCAATCCTCCCACAAATTCTGTGATTAAAACTCTACTTTATAGTAATTTGGTATTTACTCAGCCCCTATGAAGATGTGTCGTGACAAAAGGTTAGTTTAATGTGGGTAGCACGAGTGTATACACCCAGGCTAGCAATAAGAATTCCCTGATTATATATTATCTACTTCTCGGTGATATCACTCTTCATGTAATTTGCATATTGATTTTAAAAAAGTTTATTTCATTAATTAACTGTCCTTCATTACTGGTCTTTTATTCAAGTATTGTTTTGATTTTCATATCAAAAACGGTTCTGTTTTGGAATATCATCTTATATAGTGGAGAAAAGTATTTGAAATTTGCATTTTACTTGGCCTTCAAAATGTTGGCATCTACTTGTAAAACTTTTCTTAACTATAACAATCCAATTTATGAATGAAATGTTCATTTAAAATTTTTGTTTCAAAGATTTCATGTAGTGAATATATCTTTGCGACATAATAACAAACAGGTGAAGCCTGCTAGTATGTATGTATGTGTGTGTGTGTATATATATATATATATATATATATATATATATATATTATAGAGAGAGAGAGAGATAGAAAGCAGGATAGGAACTTTTGATGAGTGACTACCATAATACACTCACCTCACCATCCATATTTCTAATTAATGAGTCTTGGTTGTTTGCTACTTTCTAGACAATGTCAAAATGGCTCAAGATGTACTGAGCTGACATTCTTAGATTTTTCTTCACAAGATTCCTGAAACTGTCATCTTCAAAAACATAATTGATAAAAGTGATGAAAAAAAAAAAATGATAAAAGAAATACCCAGGTGTAAAACTCAAAAGAACTGGAAATTCCTGCGGTATCTTTTATTTCCTCTGTTTTCGTTTTTTTTTAAATGAGATTTTCAACACCAGCTTGTGATGGAATGAATTGTTTTGACCTTTTTAAAAAGATTTCAAATCTAATTATAGACAGAAATATTTAGTTGTACAAAAATAACTGAATATACCAGGTGTAACAGCAAAATTGTCCAAATCATGTAACAGCATAATTATGCATCCCACAACATTTTTAATCTCTCCAAATCCATTAAAACTAATTTCGTTTTTCTAGGTTTTCAGATAAGATATTTAGCCATTTTGACACCGTTTGTTGTAAGAATCACTGAAAAACCCATTCAGTTATTCAGCTAGAAAGAGAACAGGTTTGAATCATTTTATCAGCCCCACTGTCTAATATATATAATATATAGAAAAAGCTCAAACACTAATATTTCATGGTCATAATTTATTACATTGGAATCATAATCATAATCACAATCCAAACTGAATTCTATCCTATTGGAAATATATATATATATATATATATATATATATATATATAAACTAATTGAGTTTTTTTTTACCAGATTTTCAGATAAGACGTTTAGCCTTCTTGACGACATTTGTCATAAGAATCACTGAAAAACCATTTGAGTTATTCAGCTAGAAAGAGAACAGGTTAAAATCATTTTGTCAGCCCCACTTTCTTCCCAAATGAGCAATGGTGAGAGGAAAAGATTATTCAGACCTTCAGTAATGGTACCAACATTCATACTCTTGCTTCCATCTTCAAAATCCATTCAAGAATCATCAAGAGATCAGTGAATAAATTTAAAAAGGAGGGAACAGTAGAGAGAAAAACTGGATAAGAAAGTCACAGCAGCAAGAGGGATCATCATTTCATCTTAGAGCTAAAGAGATCAATTAGAAAACATCCAACTTGATCCATAAGATGTTTGACATGTGTGAAAGGAATTTCAGCTATAGCAATCCAAAGAGCAGTGAAAAAGACTTGAAAATGAAATCGTATGTGAAATTTGTGAATCACCTGGTTACTCCAGGACAGAAAGTTAGAGTGAAGATCATTTTGAATAAGTTGGAAAATGATCCAGGAATAATATACATATTTAAGCTTTATTTCAATTCTTCATGAGCTTCCGATCCTTAGCTATGATTAATTATTGATGAACATATCATTTTGTTTGATTGATTTCATCATGATTCTTCATAAGCTTGGAGAGTCATTATACATTCTTATTGCTCAAAGTAGAGTCCAGTATTGTTATAAAAACCTGAATTCCAGTAAGACATCTTTACTCTTTTCTAATATACAATGGTTCAAATATATAATCTAACAAATGGGCAATTTTTGAATTTTAGAGTATAAGACAGGCTATATATACACATATATATATATATATATATATATATATATATATATATATAGTACAGGTAATGGATTCATTGGTATATAATACAGGTGGATCCTAGTAATATCAAATATTAAAACTGATCCACAGAGAGAGTTCAATGTATTTATGATAATAGAGCATATATATTATATGGCAAAAAATTCAAAATTACCTCCTGTGGGTATAGCCTATTTCAAACCGGCGCAACCTTGTGCGAGTCTTATTCAACCCTGGACTGAATTTGTCTTGGAATCAGGGATTTATAATTTAATTTATATAGCAGTCAAGAAAAAGATAAGGAACCTACCCAAAATGATGCCTCAGCCAGATAAAAATCCGGAGTTGGTGGTAAGGGGAGGGCAGAAGATTTCTCTCTCTAAGAGGGGAAGAGGCCCCGCTCTAATCAACTCCGATATTAACCTTATGATCCTAAGTTGGGGTTATATGAAGAGTGAGGTGTTGAATTGAAACTAAAAGAATGTTCAAATGGAGAGTTTATTTATGACCAAAACCTTTAATTATATATAAAGGAATTTAGGTTCCTGCTAAGGAATACCAAATTAAATATAGATTTAAGGGGCTTTTATCATTAAGGAATAGGGGATTTAATGATAAAACAATTTAAAAGTTAGAATAAATTAGCCATTTATAACTTTAAGGATAGGTTAAATTATTAGGGAAACCAAGCTATACTGAAATTCTTTAAAAAAATAAAAATGTTAATCGAAGCGGGTTGCATAAATCAGGGAACTGTTATAAGACAGGATTAATATGGAGAATAGAGGGAAATTGTAGAAGTTAATTACCGTTATATATTCAACATCAGTGGGGTTTGGGAGTTAACAAGTAATAAGGTAAGATCTGTTTTTATATACATTTAAACCTGCTTCTATGTCTACATTTTACTTTATTTTAAAGTAATATATATATATATATATATATATATATAGGAAGTGTGGGTTTGTAAAAAGTGACTATTATGGCTAATAATGCAAGACTCTTTGGTAAATCGAATCGAGTTCTCTCAGTCACTGTGTGTTTATCTAAAAATAAATATGCTTAGATTCACCTTCATCCCTGCCTTGCGCCAACAGCTTAGTGGTAGAATCCCTGACTGACACCAATTCAGTCGGGTTTCAATCCTAGCTAAAGGCAACCAACCATCTAGCCACACTGATGAGCTGTGATACAGTGAAACAGTCTGTCTGTGGATGACAATATATATGCTCCTGAAAAATTTATTTCAGTTGAGCTCTCTGGGGAGGAAGTGTGGGTTTGTAAAAAGTGACTATTATGGCTAATAATACAAGATTCTTTGGTAAATCGAATCAAGTTCTCTCAGTCACTGTGTGTTTATCTAAAAAATAAATATTCTTGAATTCACCTTTATCCCTGCCATGTGCCAACGGCTTAGTGGTAGAATCCCTGACTGACGCCAATTCAGTCGGGTTTCGATCCTAGCTAGAGGCAACCGGTCATCTAGCCACACTGATGAGCTGTGATACAGCGAAACTGTCTGTCTGTGGATGACACTAAATATATATATATATATATATATATATATATATGAAGAAATATAGTCTTAAGATGTGCTATATTTATGGGATAAAGTACTCAATATCAGAAATAGAGCGAGTGTAAATATAAAAGTAAAGATAGAAGTCAAAATTTAGAGGCAACAGGCTGTTTCATGCTAGATGCCTGTTGTGGCCTGATGATTGCATAACCTTTTTGGAACCTATATATATATATATATATATATATATATATATATATATATATATATATATATATATATATATATGTGTGTGTTCAGACAAAGAGGAAAACCTTTTCATTGACAACACATTTTACCTTCATTAGGTAGGTATCTTCAGGCCACAATGAAAGACAAATCTGTGTGTGTTTCTTATTTTATTTAAAAACCATTAATGTCTGTTTGAGAGACCAGTGTCTTCAGGACAGAATAAAAGAACAAAACTGGTTGTCTTTTTTTTCTTTTTTAATTCTGTTTGATTTGTCTTTCATTTTGACCTAAAGACGCCTACTTAACAAAGGCAAAATGCTTTGTCAATAAAAAGGTTTTCCACTTTGTCCAATTTT